TGAATGAATGAATGAACGAAGTGAGTTGAACAAACTCGATAATGACGCCGTTTAAAAGGATTCGATTGCGTGACGATTCATTGTCATCATTATAATTCACGCGACAAAAAAAGTCAAGCGCGAATGATATATTTGGTCTTATCAAAAAAGACAAGTCAAAAGCAAAAAAGAAGAGAGAATGAAATAGATGTGAAGGAAGCCCCATAAAATTGCTCTTCATTGGACGGTAACCAGAAATCGAATAACAACAACAACAACAAAACATTCTTATCGGACGGTCGCGTATAAAAACGGCGTGCAATTGTGTGTTGAAAACTTGAACTGCTTATCACACGCAAGAATCACAAGTTCATTTATCATTTCCCAGTAAGCACAGAGAGACAATAAATAAATAAATACAGAAAAAAACCCACAGCAAATGAAAAGGAAAAAAGAATTTATATGTAGTATATTACGGCAAATAATAAAATGCGAAATAAAAATCGAGAGGGAGAGAGAGAGAGAGAGAGAGAGAGAGAGAGAGAATCCGAAGAAGGAGTGCGCGCATATTGGAAGCAGGCAATCGTCTTTGGTTCGACAAATTGTATTTTTATATGAGTGTTGTTAAAAGTGAAACATCGATAACGTGCGGCTGAGCGTAGAAGAAGCGAAAAAAACGACGCACGCACACTATAAACAAAAAGAAGAAATAGTGTAAAAAAATAGCATAGCAATCGTCAACTAGTAGTCCATTTTAAAAATAGATATAAATATTTGCGATAATATTTAATTCGGTTGCAGTAGTGCAATGTGTTTGGCGACTTTTGTCGTTGCTGCTGCAGTTTTACAATGCTGTTGTTGTTGGTGGTGTCCGTTCGGTTCATGAATTCAATTATTTTTTTTTTCTTCTCTGTTCTGTTGAATTTTGCGATGCGATGCGAATGGTTGGAATTATATATTTTGAAGAGAAAAAAAAGAGGAACACCGAGTGTAAGCCACCACACACAGCAGCAGCAGCAGCAGCAATGCCACAACCAAGAAGAGTGCAATCAAAAGAGGCAAACATGTTTTTATTGGTGTGCCCGTGTTATGCGCGCTCACTCGCTCGCTCTCGAGAGTTAAAGTTAAATGCAACACAATAATTTGTGTAATTGTGAGCGAGTTGTTGGTTGGCATTTACGGTCATACAGCAATTTATGTAACTAATTAGCAATGCCAATTATGCTCTTTCTCTTTGTTTTGTGCTGTGTGCAATATAAGAACCTGACCGAGAGTGCTCTCGACAAAACGGCAGCAGCCCAATGCAGCAGCCACCACATCCAAAATGGCAACAAAAACGCACGTACCATACCATACTGAAACTGAAAACCAACCATCACAGATAGAGAAAGAGAGAGATGCAAGGTGTGCTAGTGTGTGTATGCGCGCGCGCACGCTCTTGCCGATACCGAAGCCGGTGTATAAATTGCTCACCTTATATACAAATTGTAAATTGTCTCCTCAGATGCATTTGATTCTTGAACTGACTGTTAAATTTATTGACATACAACCGCAACATTCGCGACATTTATTTTAAACCAATTGGGCAAAGCATGCAACCGAATCACACGGTGATCGCGTCTGCAGCCAAATTGCACCGACTTCAAACTAGATCAGCTCATAAAAAGAGCACATACAGAGCACCAACCGAACAAGAGAGCCCAAAACAGTGCTAACAGAAAACAAGACGAGCCATTTCGAATGCAGAATCGAAATGACCGAAAATGGTGATTTTGCCATTCTAACTCTCTTTCCCTCTCTCTCTCTCTCTCTCTCTCTCTCTCTCTCTCTCTCTCTCTCGCTCTCGCTTCCTCTGTATCTCGGGGGATTTGGCGAATTCGAAACGCAATTGTTCTAATTGTTCACACTCCAAATAGCACGAAAATGCATCGTTGGCTGCTGATGATATTAGGAGAAAATCCATTTAAATGAGCAGACCGCGAAGCTGAAAAAAAAAACAACAACACACACACACACACACACAAAGCCAATCGCTTCCGATTTACAGCCTAATGTGCACATAACAAGTGCCACTCAATGGCTAATCTATCATTTTGATTGCATCGAATGCTTCATTAGACGCAATTCTCAAAAGCAGGTTTTTTTTCTCTCTTCTTCTCTATGCCATATAAAATGCGCGCATTGTTTTCACATTTTGGATTTTTACCTTCCTTATTATCAAGTGCCGTCGCTGTGGGTTTTTTCCCTCTGTTTTGTTGCTTTCTTTCCGCAGTTCTACAATTTGATTTGGAAATAGATTTTCTATTTGATTGCTGATATTGTTGTTGTTGTTGTTGTTGTTTCAAATGCACTTATTTATTAGTTTCTCGTTTTGTGGGTTGTATGTCTTCTGGTTCGACTTTAATTGCATTTAACAACAGTTGATGAAACCCATAAAATTGATGACGACGGCGGCGACTGCGTCGACGACGACGACGACGATGATCATAACGATGACTAGAGCGAGAGAAGAGAGACCAATGCAACAAACGAAATGCTATGCCATGTGAAGTACATATACACACCATAAAATTGGTGCAAGAGCGAATGAGCCAGCCAACCATCGAGTGATGGCAAAAGAATATATCGCGAGAGCACCGATAAAATCCATTCCACTGAATAATTGGTCTTTTGTAATTCACATTTTAGACCAAGTTTAGCTACCATTTCAGGTGGCAGCAAACGTGTTTAAATGCCCCTCGCTGATTTTATGCCGACGATCAAAACATTATACATGTATTTTGTTTCGTCGAAGCAGAAAAGTCGCGAGAGATAAATGCCCCCATGCACAATGCTGCACACATAAAACCGATTTGCTCTCTTTTATTCAGCGGTTCACCGAATCGATACAATATGACAATTGCAAAGAGCAAAGCACTTTGTATGCAATGCTTGACATTTTTTTTCCTTACTTCTCTTCGCCATTCAAAATCAAATCACTGTTTGAGCTGTTTGTTATTGCTGCTGTTTTTTTTGGCTTTTTTTCAGTTGGCTTGATTTGATTTGGATCCTTAGTTCTATTGCTTCAACAGAGAAAAAAAAAATCGGACAGAAAAAAAGTAAAATAAAAAGCACAAAAACCCTGAACACTAAAACGTTTTACATTTATTCCATTTTTGTGAGCAACCTACGGCCATAAAATAATGCTAATTAGGTTATTTGGCTCACTTGAGTACGTTGCTGCTGTTGCTGCTGCTACTGCTGATGATGTAGAAACGTATTTCTATGATTGGTTTTTTCGTTCGCCGGTTTCGGAAAGTGTGCACAATGTCTATCATACCAATAGCTAGCTGTATATATGTGACTAACTGTGTGAGATTTTTTTTTGGGTTTTCTAAATGTGCAATAAAAACAAGATCAATAGCATACACCATTTAAGATATTGAAAACGAATAAAACGAAAAACGGTACACTCAATTTGATTGGCTATTGCTAACAAGTGGTAATGCAATTCGAATGTTTCGACTATCGCATGCAAATCATCCACTAAATGTAACAGGTCTCTCGCAGGATTTCTCTCTCTCTCGTTTTTCTTGTCTGAGATTGTGATCATGGTGCTCGATATTTCAAATCGATGTGATGCATATCCAAGTAAAACATTTTCAAAATCTAAATGCTTGGATGATGATTATGACATATAAAAATGGAAGCTCAAGCTACCGACCTCCCGCAAATGTCACAATTTCACATGCACACTATACGTCTCATTAGACTTGGAAAACGTTTTTCCATTGCACATTATTTTATGCAGAAAAAAACAAAGTATGATACACATCGAAAATATCGAATATGGCCTAAAGTGAGACGGAAAAATGAAACCAACAAAATGCTCATTTTAAACGATTCTTCATTCAACATCTGGTCGAGCCCGCTTTTAACTCCGATACTCTTCATAAAATGCACTCTTTTCACTTGTTCTCCTTTTTACACTTCATTTACATGCTATTTTTTTCCCTCGCAATCGTCGACATTTGTAGAGAAATTTATTCGAAACGAAGCAACGGGCAAAAAATTGTCACTCAAGGAATTCATACGAGTACAGAGTATGCATTTCGTGGTGCATGCATGGACAAAGCCGAAGGAGAAACATGCAATTTCTTGAAAACATATATTCCTTGTGAACGGAAGCAAAAAAATTTCAGTAATCGTTGTTACTATCGAATTTTTATGGGCAAAAAAAAAACGAATCAAATGGTGGAAACATCATAATCCAATTTGAAAGGCGTTAAATGAGCTCCGTGTAAATATCCGTTTGGTCTACGGGAAAAAACATGATTTTTTTTTTCTTTTGTTGCTGTTACTTCAAACCACAGAAATGTTTGTGATGGCGATCCCTCGCACACACACATCGTTTTCAAGCCCAAAAAACAACGCCAAGTCCATGGAAATGTTGGCATTTTGTGGCCAGAGACCGAGAGTCGTTTTATAACATTGACACAATGAAAATATCGTACGCATAAACAAAACGAAAAAATGTGTCTTATGAAAGAGTATATGAAAATGAACAAAAAATAAAAGAATAAAATAAAAGGCCATTGAACAATGTATGTTCACATAAAAATTAACGAAACAACAATGCAAACAACGATATATGATGCGGTTTACAAACAGTCAGTTGTTTTTTTTTTCTCTCTTTCTCTCGGTACATTTTATGTGCATTGGCGCTCTATGTTGGTGGTTTCCTTTCGAAGTCGATTTTATTTTTTATTTCTCCGTTGTGTGTGTGTGTACTCTGTGTATTTATTTCTCGGAACTTTATGAATGAGTGCGTGCAATATTTCTTATGAGAATCTTGTTTTGATGGAAAAGAAAGAAAAAAACAAATATTAGGCTTCAATGTTCCGATTCATTGGCTGGTTTTTCGATTCATATGGATTCCGAAGCCAAAAAATAAAACACAATTTGTATATTCTAATCAAAAACTGAGTTATTAATGTAATATTAATGTTTTATTTCCCTCTTTCTTTCTTATGTCATTGCAGAACATTGATTTCATCTTGTGAAATAAGGGAGAAAAGCACACATCCATGACGATGGCAGATGAAATGGACCCAATGGGAAATGCACGCCAAATGAGCGAATTCCAAATCAGTAACAACAACAATTCATTGATCACCAACCAAAATATTCCATGGAAGCAACGCAAGCGAAAACGTTTGTCGGCTGTACTTGATAAATTGCACAATAACAATACAATTACCAAGCGATGTCTAAACGAATTGGACGCAATCAACGAGACAAATAACAACAATAACAATCAGGGTGAATCGTCAAAGGTGCCATCACTGGTTGATTTCCATCGTGCTGTGATGAACGAAGCGAGCGGCCGAGAATCGGTACGATCGAGCGGAGACGATGACGATGATCGAACGACGAATGCATCCACCGATGATTTGCGATCGAGTGTTGAGAGCCCGTTTGTAAAACGTGAACCATTCAGCAGTCCGCTTGGATTTGCTGTAAACGATGAAAATGCATTTAATGGTGATATTAAGCAAGAGAATCGTACCAGTGATTACGAGTACAATAACCATCGCAACGAGCAAAATGTCAGCCCGATGGAACGGTATTTCCCACAGATGCCACCACAACTCTTTGAATACTACTTACAAACCAAATACTTACCAGATATTCTGCGTATGCGAAATAGCATGCCCGTTGCAAATTCCGATCTAAAAATAAAACAACTCACACCCGACCACCATCATCAACAGCAACAGCAACAACAACAGCAACAGCAACAACAGTATTCGCCGCAAAGCCAATTGGCCGCACTCGATTTACAAAACAAACCAATTAAACAAGAAGATACCAAAATCCAACAGCCGCCACGAAAACGGCAACGTCAACCAAAACAGCAACAGTATCAATCATTTGCCGCCGAAAAGCCACCGCCACAAGATGCACCATTGGATCTGTCGATGAAAACAATTCTCGAGAACATTACAAAAGCTACGGTGACACACAAACAATCATCACGCTCACCATCCTCATCGTCGTCATCGTCCTTGTCGACATTGCCAAATCAATGGCCAACACAAGCGCATGATATGTCCGCGTCGATACCCAATCTGGCCAATCTTCTTGTGAATCCGGCAGCACATTTGAATAATCATCCCGCTTTTACTGCACCGCATCATCATAGTCAGTCGCCGTTATCGAATACAGCTAGCAATTCACTGGGCCAGGTACCCATTATCAAGGGTGATGTCGCCTCGCCAACAACCAAAGAATCCGTTGCATTTAGATACAACATCAATGTATCACCGGTGGTGGAGGAAATGCCACCCGGAACGGATGTTGCATACGTTTGCCCGATTTGCGGTCAAATGTTCTCGCTACACGATCGACTGGCCAAACACATGGCCTCGCGTCACAAAAGCAAGTCCAGCTCATCCGAAATCACCAAATCGTATGTGTGCGAAGTATGCGATCGATCATTTGCACGATCTGATATGCTGACACGTCACATGCGCCTGCACACCGGTATCAAACCGTACACATGTAAAGTGTGTAACCAGGTATTCTCGCGATCGGACCATTTGTCAACGCATCAACGTACCCACACCGGGGAGAAACCCTATAAATGTCCACAGTGCCCGTATGCAGCATGTCGCCGTGATATGATTACCCGCCACATGCGAACCCATGCTCGATACGAAGCTCAACGTGCTGCTGCCGCCGCCGCTGTTGCTGCATCCAATAATGTCATCGATGCGGCCAATTCACAAGCCAACTTTCAACGGAGCCTCATCGGTGAGTTTTTTTTTCCTTCAAATCATTATAAATTTAACTGCGTATTTCTATGACGATTTTCCACTTTTACCATTTCATTTGATTCACTCTCTTTTTTTTGCTCATCCAAATTTTTTCCGGTCATTTGATCATCAATCTATTCCATTGATAATTGACCCAAATCTTAAATTTTGCCCATTTCTAGTAAAATACAATTCAAAAATGCTTGATTTTCTTTATGTTTAAAATAAGATGTTCCAAAACACCGCATTAAAACGTTATCTCCTCCCACAGCGATGCCCAACACCAATTTGTCTAAAGTGAAAATAAAGATTGAGGACAGTAATCGAAGCGTTTCACCGAAAACGTTGTCGCCAGCATATGCAGCTAGTACAATCATCAAAACCGAAAATATTTGCTCATGAACAACACGGATTCAACGATAAACATCGACATTATTACAACGATGGTGGTACATTTAAAGGTTTAAGTAATTTTTACTCAGTGTTTCAATAATTTTTTTTCTTCGTTTTAAATTTAACATTAAATCAAATTACATCGAATTAGATCTACTTACATGGTGTATATTTTTCAAAGACTGACAAAAAAACACCTTTGTTTCTCAAACACATACACATTATATGCGTAGCTACAAAAGAACGAAATCATACACACACGAAAAACAAATATTCTATAGAAAATATTCAAAGAAATCAAAATTCTAAAGTGAAAATAATGAGAAAAAGAATCAAAAATTATTTTAAAAAAATACAATCGTATCGAATTGTACACGGCCACACACACAAAATCGTTCCAATAACATTGAAATTTACTTAAAAACAGAACAAAAATCCTTGCATAAAAAAAAACTCAAACTGAAATTGCTACTCAGAAAATAATCCTCAGTTTTGTTCACACACACACAAAAACAAATCGTTATAGATAAACTTTAATTAATTATTTTTCCATGCGAAAACAAAAAATAATTTTTTTCTTCGGTTGAATCATTTTGAGATTGTCCTCAATACATTTTTTTGTTGTTATTAAATTCAATATCAAATAAAAGCTGTTCACAAATATGATATATTTATAGATTGGTTTCCAAATACCCTTACCAAAACAAATGCTCTTATGCAAATGAGCTGACACAAAATGAAAGAAAAGAAGGAAAAAAAAACTCCACAAATTAATGTTAATTCCGATTTTTTACAACAATAACGGCGGAAAAAAGAACGAAAACATAAACCAATGCTGCTCAATCCGTTTCCAAACTTCAGGTTTTAAATCCATATAATTTAGGAGTAAAAAGACATCACATACACACATTTTTTTCTTCCCCAAATAGATACATTCAAAATGATACAGATAAAACAAATATGAGATTTCAAAAATATTACACATATTAACGAAAATGGTTGTGAGTAATCGATTTGTTGTTATCGACACCGGAAAAATGTGTGCAAAATCAATGCAAGAGATAGTTTGAATGAGTTCGAAAGAAAAAAAAACTGTTTTTTTTTCTTCCAATGTTTATGTGCAGCTTCAATTTATATATCCTCATAAAATTTCGACTTAAATTCTTATTTATTCCCTGGATTTGGTTTTTATACAACCGAAAAACAGTACAGAAGAATGAAACAGTACAGTGAAAAGAAAGCGAATAAAAGTAAAGCAGCCAGTGAGCAATTGAACAAAAGTCGTCCGCGTGAAATGCATCCTTGAAACGCGGTCGCTTTTCGTATTGCATTATTAAATCGATGCTCGGCGGCAGGAAGTGGCAATGCAGTGTACAGAAGAAGAAAAAAAGAACTATTTCATACATTTCACACGCTATGCAAACATATCATGTTTGGTGCTTGAAATTAACGGCAATTGAACGAAAATGACGAACAGGAAAAAAAAAACAACAACAGCAACAACACCACACACGAATGAAAATCTAAAAGAGAGAAAATAAAAAATAAAACGTGGACCAATACTTTTAAAACCAAAAAGTGTCTACGTGCAAATGCATATGCGATGCGATGTGGTGCAACGCAAAACGCGACGGGTATTTAAAAATTGCATGCAATATTATGCAGATTCATCAAATGCATATATGTTTGTCTGTGTGTGTGTTAGTTGCTGGTGTTGGTGAGTCTTATTTGAATATTTAACCGTAAAATTAATAATGCAATCGACGTGTGAATTGAAGTAGCAAAACGCCAGGAGTTACGCAACAAGAGGAAATACACACTCACACCGACACACACGGAATGGAGAGAAGCGAGCGAAGCAAGAAAGAAAGGAAAAAAAATGTATGAAGAGAAGTTATGTGAAAGAAAAGTGCTTCGCCACTTCAAGCGACTTTGGCTTCAGTGTAAACAATATGCATGTGCATTTGATAAATTGTATGTGCTATGGTTGTGCGGTGAGGCACCAACAGCAGCAGCAGCAGCGTACGCAACACCAACCAACAATTATAATAAATATTAAATCGCATAAAAGCAGAAGGTACACATGAAGAAAGCAAACGGCAGTGTGGTAACAACACAGCACACAAACTGGATGAAAAAAGCTGCCTGCGTCCAAAAGCAATGGGAAAAATAGGCAAAAGCCAGTGCTTGTGCATCGGGTGCAATTTTCGTCGTGTTGAAATGAGTGTGTGCCATTTCTTCTCGCTTGCTCTCGCTATTCCAGCAACCGCTGTTTTTTTTTCTACATTTCGTTGTCGTCAGTTCGTTAATCGTACTGCAGTAGGTGCACTAAATTAAATTGAGTTGAATCCAAGGAGCTAAACGATGTGGTTTTTCTTTGTGCTTAATAAAAAGGAATCGTGTGCATTTCACCTGATTTCCTCTATCTCTTTCTCGATGTCGGCTTTTCCAATATTAAAATACGTCACTCACCCGAATGGTGTGCATATTTCTTATGAATCGAAATATGCATATCGATCGATATTGCCAAGATGCTTCAAATTCAATTGGAATTAAATGTCAACCGTGTGATTTCCCCACTTGTAAATTACAAAGCGAAAATTTCCTGTATCGTTTGTCGCTGCATCTTGGGAATATGTCTCGATTTGCGTATCACACACACACACACACACATAGAGAGAGGGAGATAGCGAAAGACAGAGAGCAAACAAGCATAGCACCATTGCAAAGCACTAGTTACCCATATATAGGTTTTTCGAATTGGGTCAAACGTTCAAAACCATTTCAGTGAGCGAACAATCGCCAAAACCAAGCCATAAGCCGAAAATGGTCGAAATATATATTTCGACACATGAGCACCAATCCAAACACATATACGCGCGCGTTCAACAACGCCAAGATCCAGGATCCACCAGACTGATACGGATACATGACTGTAAAATCATACGCACACTGAACACGTATATATACATACAATACGTGTGCATTATGGCATTTATGCATTAACGTATCTTTTTATAGATCTCTGGGAAAGCATTTTCTTTGCTTCGTTCTCTCTCTCTCTCTCTCTCTCTCTCACTCACTCACTCTCTCTCTGTTGAGCCCGGTATCGGGTGTTTCCATCTCACTCCCGCCTGACTGTTTCGAAGGCAGCCTCAATACCGAGAGCGAGAGAGAGATAGAGAGAGAGAAAGGGTTAAACAATAGCCGCAATCCGCATTGCGTTCAGCACATATATTTTCATAAACACAAAGCAGTCAGGCTAGCAAAAACGATAACACACGCCAGCACAAAACAGTAATACTAACTGTATGTAACAACAGCACAGAGAAGCGACAAGCCAACAGTCAGCAAGCTAGCTGGATGACTGGCTGGCTGAGTAAGCGAACGAAATGCCTCTCTTCACCCAAACCGACCAAAACAATAACAAAGAACGTCAGAAACCGTATAATAACGACAGAATTAATGTTACATGCATTACCGATAGTCGAGCAAACATTTCAGCAGCTAAAACTCACAATTGAATCAGTTGGGCCCCCGTCTCGTGTACCGAGACGCGAAAGAGCGAAAATGCACCACCAACGATGTGTGTGTATGTATATTGTATATGCATATAGATGTACATGCTGTTGTTGGGTGGCTCGACGAAATAGAAGTTGTTGGCGAAAAATATAACAGTAACACACTTCACTAAAAACAAATAGCAGAAAAAAACACAGGCCAAAATAAAGTCGACCATCCAGAGAGATGGAGCGAATGAGAGAGAGAGAGAGAGAGAGCGCGTGAGAAAGCAAAAATGATAGAGAATGAAAACTACAAGGCACAGAACAAAAAACAGTATCACAATGAAACCCCCGTTGACGCTTTATTAAATATGTGTTTGAATTTTGTATTTAGCCATAAAGTTGGTGTGTGCCCAAGCGAACACCGCATCTACAGAAAGAAACAAATCTAAAAAATAAATTCGCTTTTGACTTTTGTGCGAAGCATGTGTAGTAGCATGGTCCACCATCATCATAACTACCACCTTCCCTATGCGAAGGATAACGAGAAATTTTTGGAAAAAAAAGAAGAAGAACCAACACGCAGCCCTATTAATTTTACTTTCTCACTATTCGGCCAAAAAATGCAATTGCGATGTAAAGTTGGTTGTGTGGCTGGCGCGCGCATTTCAACTCGGCAGAGACAGAGACAGAGAATCAACGGCAAAAGAGGCGTCACAAGCCAAACAATATGTGTTGTTTGCATTAATTTGGCAAAAATGCTGGACGCTTCGAAGCAAATGCTCACTCGAATTTCGGCCTGTATATCATCATATGCCAGGGAAAATGCTCTCCATTCGCTACGACAACCAACCGACAATGCACTATGGATACAATTTTTCTCGTTACACTCTTTTTTTTAGTGCGGACCATCGTCGTCGTCGTCGTCGTCGTCGTCGTCGTTTTTTTTTTATTACGTCTCGTCTAATTTTGTTGCACTGCTGCCGCTTTCGGAAGAAACCACGAAACCATGCAATGGAAACAGAAGCCAGAGAATTTTGGGGCACTGACGAAAAAAATACACACACCCAAACTATCACAACGAAGAAGAGTTAAAATATCAAACGAAAATAAAAACAAGTCAGCCAGAAAACGCCAACAGTTTTCGTTGTGCATTGCTTTTCCATATTGGCACATTATACACATATTTGCGCTAAGAAGGCTCACATTCTGGGTGATTATGCAGGGCACAAACTCTTACTCATACATACACACACACATACACACACACTCATGTAATATATGTATGCACGGCTCGTCGCCCGCTTTCTCTCTAGCTCGCTCGCTCGAAAATAGATCTCACGCAAAATATAGGGCTATGCCACGGTAAATCTTACCACCCGCCGCTCACGTTGGCAATTTGCAAGAGAGAGGTAGCGAGCTAGCGAACGAGCTAGTCCAGTGTGTGTGTATGCTATGGGTTTGGTGCTTATATATGCTTTTTTTCGTTTCGTAATGCCATATCTTATCATATGCATTTCGAAGCGATTGCTATTGCTGCTGATGCAGTACTATAATCCAAACTGCACAGAATGTTTTTGGCCTGTGTGCTGTTACTGTTGTTGGATTTCTTTCGGTGTTCGGTGCTGCTGTTGTTGCTGTTGTTTTTGTTGATACTTTTTTCATATTTGCTTGTTTTTATGTCCTCTCTTTGTTGTTTCTTTGCTCACCCATTGAACTATGCTCATTACTTGTTTGCACCACTTGTGAGCTAACGGTATAGAACTTTTCGCGTCATACACTCACTTCGCCAATATAAACTACATGAAATGAGAAGAGAGAGAGAGAGAGAGAGAGAGAGAGAGAGAGAGAGAGAGAGAGAATAAAAAACCAGCAGCAATAACAACAACAACAATAACAAGCCCCATCGTGTGAATGCAATGTTATCACGTCACATGCGAGTTTCGAAAGTACCGACTAAATGACAAATAGTGATTGCAATTGTAAACAGTTTCAATGAATTTCACTCCGTTCAGCAATCATGGGTTCCGTTGCAAATCGCAGGCAATAGCAAAGGCAAAATGAACGAACGAACGAACAAACGAACGGAGCTCGAGTTAGGGAATGAGAAAAGTAGAGAGAAGCGTCAAGCCATTGGCACAAAATGATGTTAGTGTAACAAGA